GGGCTGAGGTCCCCCCCCCCCCCCCCAGTGCACGAATTTTGTGCACCGGGCCTCTAGTATTTGAATAAAAATGTACACATTGAACTATCTCAAAACACAGAAATAAAAAAGACAAAGTAATATTTAAAGAAATCGAAGATGCCCTGGCTGATTTGGCTCAGTGGATAGAGCATCGGTCTACAGGCTGGGGGATCCCAGGTTCGATTCCAATCAAGGGCACTTGCCTGGGTTGCGGGCTCAATCCCCAGTGCTGGAGGCAGCCAACCAATGATTCTCTTTCATCATTGATGTTTCTATCTCTCTCTCCCTCTCCCTTCCTCTCTGAAATAAATAAAAAATATATTTTTTAAAAAAGAAAGAAATCAAAGACCTAAGTACGGCACCTCGATTTTTATCAATTGCTAGCCCACTTTAGGTTTTGTTTCCTGAGTTGAAGCCTTGTGGTGCCTTCAAGTGGCAGTGTGCCTGTGACCACCTGGGTGCTGACTCTGCAGGTTTAATGGGTGGTTTGGCTCTCATCGGCCTGGGCCGCCTGGGCCGCTGCGGGACCCTCCACCCCTTGAGGCGCAGGCAGAACCCAGGTCCTCATTGCTGCTAACACTCATCCCACACGCACAGCGTGGCCTCCCCAGATCCGCTTTTGTTTTTTAACTTTATTGAGACTTAAGTGCCGACCATGCCGTTCACCCACTTAAAGTGAACGACTCGGTGGCATCCGTGCGTTCACAGGCCGGTGCAGTCACCACCATAGCCAACTTCAGAAACTGTCATCACCCCGAGGAACTCCCTCTCCTCTCCACCCCAAGCCTGCCACTCACGGGGTGGCACAGGCCAGCGGCTTCCTCTGAAGGTTTAACACGCGTTTGAACAGCTTTTAGAGTTTACAGTAGGGGGTAGGGTTGCATTTATTCCCATGTTAATGCAGGAAGGACAAATGCTGAAAAGACCGCAGCTCAGTAATGCGCATAGACGCGCGCACACACACATGCACCCAGAGCCGGACCCTCTGTCCCCCAGAGGGCAGGACCCTCCCTAACGGCAGGGGCGGGTGGGAGGAGGGCCTCCCATTTGCTTCTGCACCAGCCTGTGTCGGCCGCAGGCCCAGGCCAGAAGGACAGACCCCAGGGAAGGGCTCACAGCCTGGAAGCAGGTGAGGTGAGAAAACCAGGAGCGGAGCAGATGGCCGCCTCCCTCTCCGGGCGGGAATCTGCCCTCCACTTGGCAGCCAGGGTGGAGGAGGAGGGTGGAGGGTGGAGGAGGTGGGACTTGGCTCCCTGCCCACTGCTGGGGCGAGTAGTGGGTTTCTCTAGACAGTTGTCCCCTCTTTTTTTTTTTTTCAGAAACATATTTTTATTGGTTTCAGAGAGGGAGTGGGAGAGAGAGATAGAAACATCATCAATGATGAGAGAGAATCATGGATCGGCCTCACACTGGGGATGGAGCCCGAAACCCAGGCATGTGCCCTGACCCGGGAATCGAACTGGGGACCTTTGGGTCCAGGGGAGGATGCTCAATCCACTGAGCCACCACAGCCGGGCCGGGTGTCCCCACTTAGGTGCAGTTTTGCTTTCTGTGCTTTCAGTTTCAACAGCGGTCTGAAGGTATTAAATGAAAAATTCCAGAAATAAGCAATCAGTACGTTTTGTGTGTTTTTTAAAAAATATTTTTATTGATCTCAGAGAGGAAGGGAGAGGGAGAGAGAGAGAAACATCAATGATGAGAGGGAAGCGCAGCTTTGGTTACCGCACCTCGGCTCATGGCCCCATCTTGCTGTTGGGTATTTTTTTTAATCTCCTCTAACTTATTTTATTTTTTAAATTTTGTTTTATTGCTTAAAGTATTACAAAGAGGAGTACATGTCTCCTTTATCCCCCCCCTTGGTTACTGCTGGGTACGGTGAGCCTCCCCTGTGGCCTGGTTGTAACTCACTTCATGGCAGGTGTGCGAGCGTCAGGGAAAGCTGGGCATTAGGCCTCGGTGCCCTGCGGTGTCAGGCCTCGCCGGGGCCTGGCAGTGTGTCCCCGCGGATAAGGGGGGACTGTGTTCCGCTCTCGGGCCAAACAGAGTCAGTCCAACCGGTGCTCGGGGGCCGCTGTCAGGCGCCGGGCTCCCGTGGGCATCGGGCGCACAGTCAGCGGGGAATGAGCCGCGGGTGGGCCGATGTGCCGTTTCCTGTCCGTCTTTGTAGCTCAGTGGATCACGCTGCACTTACAGTCTGGCAGCGGCCCGCTCTCCACCAGTTTCCAGGGTGATGTATCAATAGCAGGTGCGGAGGATGCGCTTCACCATCAGCTCCCTCGCTCCTCCCCGGAGCGCGCTGTCTCCCAGCTGCTACCCAGGTCCTCCCCAGGGACTGCGGGCTGCATGTGTGGGGCCTGCCCCAGGTAGGGAGGGCGGCCTGGTCTCTGTGTGGGGTCTGCCCCAGGTAGGGATGGGGGGCCTGGTCTCTGCGTAGAGTCTGCCCCAGGTAGGAAGGGGGGCCTGGTCTCTGTGTGTGGGGTCTGCCCCAGGTAGGGAGGGGCCTCTGATTCCCTCAGGTCGGGGAGTGAAGCCATCTGGGGTTGGACAAGTGGAGCCAGGCTCTGGGGTCCAGTGCTGCCCGGCTTTCTGCAAGGAGGGGAGAGTCTCTAGCCTCAGTTGCACACAGCTGCCTCTGGCCACAGCCCACGTGGGGCTAGTCCCGCTGAGGAGCTGTTTCTCATTTGAGTTAATTTAAATTTAAGGAGCCACGTGTGGCTATTGGCTGCGGCGTCAGGGCCGTTCCATGTAGAAAACATAGACACACAGATACCAAAGGTGCCCCAGGTCACAGGCACCTCTGTTTCTGGGTCAGAGTCACGATTAAAAAAAAAAGTGGGGGGGGTTGCCCTGGCTGGTTTTTCTCAGTGGATAGAGCATCGGTGTGTGTGTGTGTGTGTGTGTGTGTACACACACACACACACACACACACATATGTATATATAAAGAGATTTTATTCTAAAGTATTGGCTCACATTATTATGGGCATGGACCCAGGATCTGTAGGGTGAGCCAGCAAGCTGGTGACCAAGAAGAGCCTATGGTATAGTTTCAATCTGCAGGTTAGCAGGCTCAGGACTCAGGAGGAGGCAGCGCTTTCAGTTTGAGCCTGAAAGCAGGAGAACACAGATGTTTTACTTCCAAGGCAGTCAGGAAGGAGGAATTCTCTCACTTGGGGGAGGGTCACCTTTTGATTCTCTTCAGGCCTTCAACTGATTGGGCTAGGACCACTCATATTAGAGAGGGCAATCTGCTTTACTGAGACTACCACTTTAAACGTTAATGTCATTTAGAATCCTCACAGAAACACCCAGAATAATGTTTGAGCATATATCCGAGTGCCCTCTGGCCCAGTCAGGTTGACTCATAAAATTACACATCACAGTGGGCACGAGGAACCCTTCTTAAAGAATTTCAAGGTAGCCCTAGCTGGTTTGGCTCAGTGTATAGAGCGTTGGCCTGTGGACTGAAGGGTCCTGGGCTCCATTCTGGTCAAGGGCACATGCCCAGGTTGTGGGCTCGATCCCCAGTAGGGGGCGTGCAGGAGGCAGCCGATCAGTGATTCTCTCTCATCATTGATGTTTCTCTCCCTTCATCTTTGAAATCAATAAAAATATATTTAAAAAAAAAAGAAAGGTATTGCCCTGGCAGGGAGGCTCAGTTGGTTGGAGCACTGTCCCGGACACCCAAAGGTGGCGGGTTCGATTCCCTGTCAAGGCACATGCCCAGGTTGTGGGTTTGATCCCTGGTTGGGGTGCATGTGGGAGGAACTGATCGATGTTTCTCTCACATCCATGTTTCCCCCTCTCTCTCTACCTTCCTCTCTCTAAACAAC